GATATTCCACTTGTCATTTTTGAAATCTAGAAATTCAATGAAAAAATAAATTATTTCAGTTTTTGATTATGAAAATTCCCCGAATATTTCTTAGAATTCCCTTTCATATTCCATAGTAATTCCAATGGAATTTTTTTAGAAATCCCATTAGCCAGTTTTGGATTATATAAATTCACCAAAAATTCCCAGCATATTTCTTAGAAATTCCTTTGACATTCCATAAAAATTCCACTAAAATTCTTTACATATTCCATTTTTCACTGAATATTTTTTAGAAATCCCTTTAATATTCCATAAAAATTCTACAAGAATTCTTTATATATATTCCATGGAAATTACTCAAAAATTCTTAAGACTTTCCAGTTCTCAGTTCTGGAATTTTCACTCGAAAATTCCAATCCATGTTTCTGTAGAAATTATTACAGAAATTTTTAACAATTTTTTCATAGAGAAATTCAACGAAAAAATTCTCAAATATTTCTCTAAAATTCCTTTGATATTTTGCTCTCCAAAAATTTCTCCAGTTCTTCAAAATTTTTTAATTTCATTCTTAAAATTCTAATTTAAAAAATGTGTAAAAATTCAACCAAAAATATCTTGATATTCCATATATACAAATTACATGCAAATTTCTTTTCCATAATTCTGAGATATTTAATAGAAATTCCATTTAAAAATTCCTACACTATCACATAAAAATATTTAACTTGAAAAAGAATTTTGTGAAAATACTTCGCTAAATTCTAAAATCTTGTAATTCTCCTAAAATTTCTATACGAAAAAAAAATTATAAAAAGAAATATTATTTCCACACTTTCAGAGAATAATTATTTCACAATAATATAGGTATATTAATTTAATGAGTCGTTTTTAATCGTCAAGTAATTACGTTTTCTTCCCATTAGTTAACAAATGATTATTAATTATTGTTATTAATAAGAATATAATTATCACTTGGGTAAGCATTTATATAAACGAGTCTAAACCGCACATGCTTATTAAAAAATTTAAGAATGTGTCTTGAATCTCATTTCAAAGGTCATTGACTTGTTTACTTCCATATTTTTGATAATTATTATATTCGCCTCATATTTTTTTTTGTTTTGGTCAAAAATTGATAATTGTTGAGTAATTCATTTACGGTTCAATGACCCCAATTAGATGATAACTGGTATATTATTTCATATTTAATTCCTCTTCTTTCATTAATAAGACTAAACTCATCATTCTTATTATCTAAATGATTTAATTTTTTTCTAATTACGAAATGATTATATTTTTTATTACTTTATGTTTAATTATTTCTAATGCTGTTAATTATTTCGTTTATTAGTTCAATAATTGACAATGTTTCAAAATGGTTTAACAATTTTTTAATTCGTTTCATTGGATCACAATCTTAAATTTTTTTAATTTTCTAATGAAAATTTACTTATTTACTTATTTATTTATAAAAATAGATAAATAAAATAATAATATTATTTATTTATCTATTTTGTGTTTACTTATTTATCAGGGTGGCTACATGTCAGTAAAGTCAGTAAAGACAGGGAAATGTCAGTAAAAAAAAAATTTTTGACAGTAAAGTCAGAAAAAAAAATTTCTTGTCAGAGAAATTTAGAAAATTGAGATTTTTTCAACTTATTTTCAAAAATTGTGTCTTTCTCGACGTTCCTTCCAAATATTGCAACAAAATATCATATTTTCAGTATTAAATGTAACTTATTTCGATTTTTATAGTGCGAAAAATAACTATATATGAACAAATTTTTCATATAAATTTTCGAAATATTATAATTAAAAAGATTTTAAATAATTGAAATTTTGTAAAATTGAATTGAAAATAATAAATTTTTTCAAGTATTTTGTTAGAATTTTTGAAAATCAATTTTTGAAGAATTTTAATTCCAAATTTGCAAAATAATTGAATTATCAAAAATTTTAATGAAAAATTTTTAAACGTAAATTTAAATATGAAAATTAATGAAAATTAGCTTCTAATTTTTTTAAATATACTATTTTCAGTACTTTCAATTACACATTTCCAAAAATTCAAATATGTACAAAAAATAATAACATTTTAGAAATATTTTTAACATTTCGGAGAAAAAAAATCATGTTCAAAAAATATTTCATTAAAAGTCATCAAAAAATTAATTAGTTTTTTTTAAATAATAAATAATACCTATTTATATTCTTATTTACTTCCTTATTTTCCAACATTTTGACACTAAAAAAATCCAATTTTGGAAAAATTACAAATAATTTATTGTAGAAATTCAATTATATTCAAGAGTGGTAAAATTCTTCTAATAAAATTTAATTATCTTTCAAATTTAAAAAAAATTCTCGTCAAAATCCCAATTATCTTTATAAATACCAAAATTCTTCCCCAAAGTTCAATTATTTTTATAAATAATAAAATTTTTTCAATTATTTTCAAAAAAAATAATTATAAATTGTAGAAAATAATAATTGATTTGAAATGATGAAAATAAGTTTGAAAAAATTACTGTAATAATATTCTTATAATATAAAATAATAATTTTATATCACACGGTCATGTTTAATTATTATAAACCATTCTTATATGTTATTAAATTTAAAAAGATTTGAATTTGAAATTCTTAATTCCTATATGGAAAAATAATGTTGATTAAATATTTATTAAAAAAAAAGTTATTGATGTTTTCGAATAATTTTACAATTAAAAAAATTCGTAAATAAATGTAACAGAACATTTTTTTGAGTAAATTTTTTATCTATTTTCTAAAAATTTAAAAAGTTTCAATTTCATTTTCAATTAAAATTTGTAATTGACAAATACGAACATGATTATAGTTAATTTACCTACTTATTTATTTCTCTAATTATATATACTGATTTTGATTTCTTTACATATTTATTTATCAACCAGTTTAAAATCATTTGAAAATTGAATTTTCATTTCTAAAATCAATATTTTTTAGATGAATTGAAAATTGGATGTTTTTAGAAATAAAACAAAGTTTTCAAATTAATAAACATGAGAATTATTCCATATTGAAACATTATATTGACATATTACTTGGAAAATATTATTATTGCAAAAAAGTCTATAGATAAAAGTCCTCTCTATAAAATATCACAACTTTCATTTTGAAAGGAAAAAGTGATAGAAAAATGATTTAATGCGCCTACATAAGTTATAAATGTATTCGCATTTATAAAGCTCATTTCGAACAAATAGGCGTCTCTCTTGCCATGAAATGAGTGGTATGTGTCGAAACTAGAAAAAACAATAGAATTCCAATAATTTCAATTGTCGTCAGCCATGCAAGCACGAACATAATTGTCGTCGATGTGAATTTCACAAGAGCAGAGACGCCATGAGCTTTTATAATATTGGTCCCTCTCGGGCAGGTTGAGCTTTTTTTAGGGTGGGGGAATTGCCAAGTAGTAGTGGTAATTGGTGGAAGGGACAAGAGAGAGAGAGAGAGATGGTAAAATAGAAGTGAAAAAGTGAAAGGAGAAGAATAGAACTGAGGGGGTTGAAAATGAGTGGGAAAGAGAGGACACGATGAGGGTTGAAGGAGGTGATGGGGTTGTAATGGTGATTCCCCCACCCCCTCCCGTCACTATTTGGCGCACGCGTAACCACTGCCAGTCAATATTAACCGACTCCTGTTCTCGAGTCACCATCGTATGTACAAACGATTCAACAAAATACTGATAAGTCCTTCTATTATCTGAGAAAACACCTTTCAATTAATTCACGCTGAAATATGTTCATTTATCTTTTTTATTATTATTAGGTATGTGTATATTTTACATGCCCGATTGTTATGTGTCCCAATTGTTTAATATCTACTATAGAAATTGTAGATAAAATAATAAATATTCGATTAAAAGTTTCTAATTTGAAATATTATAAAATTTCAATTTTTAATAAATTTAAATAAAAATTTTAAAGAACTCAGATATTTGAAAAATTTTAATAATTCAAATGCTTTGTGAAATAAGTTAAATTTTTTAATATGTATTTAATTAAAGATTAAAAAAAAATTTGCATTTTGGAGAAGTTACAAATAATTGCAGAAATTCAATTATTTACAAAAGTAATAAAATTCTTCTCCAAAATTCAATTATTTTTAAAAATTTTATTAAAATTCTTGACAAAATTTCAATTATTTTCAAAAATTTTCTTCAATTCAATTATTTTCAATATCTACCATTTTATAATAAAACTTTTCGACAGATTTCAATTATTTAAAAAATTGTTGATAAAATTTAAAGTAAACATTACATTAATTTCAAAAATAATACAATTTTTTTTACCGAAATTCAATTATTTTCATGAATATAATAAAACTCATTATAGAATTTCAATTATTTTGAATACAAAGAATTGCAGAAATTCAATTATTTTCAAAAGTAATAAAATTCTTATCACAAAATTCAATTATGTTCAAAAATTACAAAAAAAAATCTCGTCAAAATCCCAATTATTATCTTTATAAATAGAAACCTTTATAAATTTCTTCTTAATAATTCAATTATTTTCTAAAAATAATAAAACTTATCGCAGAGTTTCAATTATTTCTAATACAATTTTAATCGAATTCCTTAAAAAATGTAACTATTCTTAAGAATTTTATTAAAACTAGTCTAAAAATCCAATTATTAAAAAATTTGTTAATAAAATTCTTTATAAGAATTAAATTTTAAGAAACATTCAATTATTAAATAAATAATTTACTTTATAATTAATATATTTGACTCAAAGTTAACTAGACTTTTTATTTGTTTCAAATAAATTTTATTTAATACAATAAAATTTTATTTGGTTCAAACAAAAGCTTTATTTATGACTAATAAAATTTGTATTTAAAACAAATAAATAACCTAATAGTTGGCTCTAAGACAAATGTACTTTTATTTAACTCAAATTATATTAGGTTTAAATAAAATTTTTCTCTGGGTGTATATTGATTGTTACTAATAGAAAATAAATATTTCAGAACAACAGGACATTATAATTTTTTATCTCTTGCATTACATCACGACAAATGTGCAATGTAAACGAAAAAAGAAAACTAAAATCTATATAGACATCGAAACACTTCCTAAACTAACCAGTGAGGATAAGCGACAGTCCTATCTTTTACACGTTCAGGTAGAATTTTATTATTCATTTGATTATTTAAATTGCGAAAAATTGTTTATTTCAAATTAAGTATTTTTCATTGTCAATGTAAGAAAATAAATATTTCAGAACATTGAGTAAGAAAATGTCATTTACTAACGCAAATTGTTTTTGCTTTTGTCTATAGAAGAAGGATGAGTTGCATTCATCAGTAGAAAAATTGAAGGATTATTTGCAACAGAAAGAATTGCCATTCGAACCGATAGTGGCAATTGTTGGGCCCTTATTGAATATCGAATCATTTCATGTGATAGTGGACGATATTGTGTATACGACAAAATAATTTCTTGAAGCAGTTGATTTAAATTTTAAAGTATTTTACGTCTTCGACCGTGATTATCCCCCCTTGTCGAAGATTTATGGAAGTTTCTTCAAAATGTTCTTTATGAAATACCTCTAATTGGCGAGAAAATGTCAATGCAGCATAAACTCTTAAGTGGAAAAATTGAAATGCTTTGTAAAACGTAATCAAATTTAAGTTTAGCTACTTTTTTCTTCAATTTCAGAGTTACAGACAATATTCAATTTGTTGTAATTTTTTTTGTTCTTCTAATTTGACTCTAATAAGACTTCTCAAAAATGTTTGTTTATTCCACAATTTATGTAATTTTTATATAAAAATTCATGTATTTAATTCATTTAATTATAGTAAATTTGTTTATATTTGGAACAAATCCACTTTAATCAATCGTTTAGAGATAATTAAAACAAAGTGAAAAACAAATAAAATTATTTATAATAAAAGTTTATTGTAACTAATACTCTTTCTAACAATGCAAAAATATATTAGATTTAAGAAATAAATTGTTTAATTTATTTAAAAATAAAAAGTTTCTTAGATAAAAAAAATATGTTTATATCAATTATAAAACCCTTCAAAATTATAAATAATTTTTTTTTTAGAATTCCCAAGTAAAATGAAAACTACAATTATTTTTTATAATTTGTAGAATTAATTCAATAAAGTAAATGCAAAAATTGTTTTAATAGTAGAATTTTTACTAGAAAGAAATTGTCAAACCATTATTTTTTTTATTAATTTAAAATTTAAATTATTTAATTTAATGGATATTTTCAATTTTTGTTCAAAATCGATTGTTACTAATAGAAAATAAATATTTCTGAACAATGGGACATCATATTTTATCTCTTGCAACTATTTTTAAATAGTTGATTGGTTCGAAAATAAGAGAATATTTAACGTTTCTCTTCTATTAATATTCAACATGATGATGAATTGTTGAAATAAAAACCAAAAACTGTGGTTTTAGTGGACTTCAACTAGGAGATCCGCAGTAAACAGTAAAAAAGAAGTTGAAAATTTAAATAGTTTTATTTAAATTCCCAACTATAGGTGCGTGTACTCTTTACAGAATTATAATACAATAAATAATTTATATAAATAAAAAAAATTGTAAGAGTTAAAAGTTTTAACAGTTGAGAGTAAAGAAAAAAAATGTAGGAATTTTGTATCTTCTCCAGCAAAACATCAGTTAAAAAAAAATAAAATAAGTAACAAAATTTTAAAAAACTACCAACAAGAAAAAAATAATTTATATAAATATTTTTAGAAAATATTGCTAACGACATTTTTATAGAAATCTGTAAAGAGTACACGACAGTAAAAATTAAATCTTATTTTAAGACAGGGCAGAGATTAATTGAGTCTTGACAATAAAATTTAGTCTTAATTTAAAATTTAATTTCTGCGAAAATAATTTTAATATAAATAAATATGAAATAAAGTTCAATTTTACGAAGAACGTGAAATTTAGATTTAGTTATAGATATTAATTTAACGCAGGCACTGTCTTAAATTCAGCCGAAGGCTAATGATTTTTGTAGATAAATCACATTTAAATTAAATAAAAATCAGCATTAAAAGTCTATTCTGAAAATCAATAAAGAGTATCTCAAAAATGTTGCAACCTTAAATAAGACTCTTTCTTCCTTAAAATAAGATTTCCTTTTTACAGTAATCACACAAGTACAGTACAATATAACATGATACACAAAATTATCAAAATATCATAAAGGAACATAGTTAACAACATAGTGACAAAAATAAGTATCATGCAAAGTATTCACCTTATTACTGATAAATCCAGTAATTGCAACTCAAATTATGAGTCAAAAGGATCCATTGGAACTGGTAAATTCCAGTAATTGTGACTCAAATTTTGAGCCGAAAATATTTCCGATTTTTCCTACCTATAACTTGTTCTACCTACCCGATTTCTACCTTCCCGATCATTTTTCGTTTATTTAAGCGTCTATTTATTGGAAACCTATTTCTATAATTCACGAACCGCCTGTAAAAAAAGAACTCTCTCAATCACACTTCTAAAAAAATTACCTTCCACCCTATAAATAAAAATTCCTAAATTTTATACTCAAATTTTTGATTAATTAAAATACATTCACTCCACGATCCTCTCTCATACCGCCAAGGTGCAAAAAGCCTACACTAGGGATAAAGGGGCACGTTAGGCTCACCCATACGTCCCGGGACGCATCCGCCACCTTAGCTCAAAAACACTCAAAAAAAGAAAAACAAAATTCCTGAAAGAAAAACACTTAATTGTATCTAATAAATGCCATTTGCCAAGTCTCCAAAGTTCTGAACGTTCAAATTAATGAACGAAATATTTTTTGTCAAAAATATTTTCATAAATTACAGATTAATTTTCATTGATACCAATGAATGAAAGTGATAAACTTTACATTTAGAAACTATATAATTAATTTTCTTTATAGTGACGCAAATTTGTTGTAACAAAAATTTAACTTGAAGAAGAAATTAACAAATTTTGTTCATTTGAACGTTCAGTACTTTTTAATTATTATTTGCGAAAAGTTCAACTTTAAACCAAGAATTGAATACAACATACATTAATCGAATAAAACTTTAAATAATTGATTAAAACGAAAAAATTGAATAAAGATGGAATGTATTAACTAGGAAAAATTTCAATTGCAATGAATTTGAAAATTAATAAAATATCACTGAGATAAAAAATGAAAAATAGAAATCTACTTTTAATAATTTTTAATCATAGGAAAAAGTTACTTGGCATCATAGCAAAAATGGCAAAGCATTGCAAATTAAACAATTGAAAGGTCATAGATAGCAAATAATATAATAAACATTGACAAAAATATTATTTACGTTGTATCAGAAAATACTACGAAATAATAAAAATTGGCAATGGTGTCACTATGTTGTTTTTGTTCTTTCCCTGTTTTAAAAAAATTTCTAAATTTAATTCAATTTAATTTAATTTAAGTTTCAAATCGATAAATATAAAAATTTAAATTCACTTTTTAAAAATAAAAAATATTTGCAAAGTTTATAACTTTAAAGCAATATTCAAAAAATTGATTTTTGACTCTCAAAATTAATTTACTCTACTAATTTTAATAGCAAAAAATCAATTCAAAAAGCGTAATAAACAGGGAAAAAACATTTAAAAGGAAATTTTGTAATATTGAGTCGATTGTTTAATCGACTCACTTGTTTAGTGGTATCACAGTTTGTGATAAACCACTTTGGGATTCCCACGGTGGATGATGAGCCCACGTTGTGGCGATGGGTTCCCTACATCACCCCTTCTGGGCCACCCTTGAAGATCCCTGGCTCTTGATCGCACTTCTGCGCCAGGTCAAGGGCCACACGGGACCGTGAAATTAAAATTTAAACAAAAATAAATAAAAAATAGACTAAATACACTATACTTAAAAAAAAAAAAAAAAAAAATAGACTAAGTAAACTACAAAAAAAAATTAAAAAAAACACGGCAGTGTGCAGGGACCACTTTTCTTCTCCACATCTTTCGAATTAGACACTGAAAAAGAAAACTGATTAGAAAATTAAAGAACTTTAACCTTCTACCTACTTAGTTGACCGTTATCAAAAACAAAAAAAATACAAAAACTTTAGGGGAATTACATTCAAAAGCACCAGAATGGGGATCAGTCAGCGTAGGTAGAGGGTTAAATTAAAACTAAAAAGGATTGAAATTAAAAAAAATGTTCTTCATCAGCTTTTGAAAAGCCATATTTCACTTACGACAGGTGCCTATTACTAAATTCACAAAAAAAACAAATATTAAAAAGTTTTCAAAAGTATTAAAATATTAAAGAGTTTAGTATAAATTTGATCCATATTGTAAAACCATAAATTTTAAACTTTAATTTTACAAATAAAAGAAATACTCACTATTTCGAATTATAGGCGTCGTAGTGGAAGATCTGCATATTTTTTCCATGAGTAAAATAAACTTCCTTTCTTGCAGCCCAGCTAAAAGAAAATAAGAAAAATTAATTCATTGTAAATAAAATAAGAATTTAAAATTCTAAATGAAAAATATTTTCTTTTTTTGTTCCGTTATTTGACACTGTTGATTAAAATTTTCATAAACTGTCATACCTATACCGCAAAGTTACTAAACCTTTGCGCGGTTTTACCGCATTGTAATAAAAATATCATAACAGCTTTCATGACGATATAGTATTCGTAATGAAAGAATTTGCAATAAATAATCAATCCTCCCTCTTTTGGGCCAATAATATTGATGACATTTTCTTCCTTGGAAAAAAAACATCCCCTGAAACTCAGCTGATCCTACCTCCTCCGAGAGCAGCTCCGCAAGAAACTTTCATCCTTCAAGAAATTGCCTCATGTAAATTGAAAGAAAAAACAATTTAATATAACATCTTAAGCAATATGTTGATTTGTTTTTACTCGTCAAAATGGAACTGAATTTTGATGGGTAAAAACAAATTAAATTATCTTCATAGATTTCTTCATGTTTTATAATAATTAAATACGACCGAATGGTAAAATCATTTACAATTCAATTATTATTTACAAGAATTATTAACTAAAATTCTTCTTTAAATCGATAATTTTTAATAATTTTTGAAAAAGTTCTTTGACAATTTTCAAATCATTCGTAAATTCTTCAATTAAATAAATATTAGAAAATAAAAACTTAAAATAATAATAAAAAAATTCAATTAAACTTTTTCAAAAAAATTAATTTAAAAATTCACGCTATATTGCTTTTAATATTCAATTATTATTATCTAAAATTTTAACTGAAATTAAATTTAAATGAATTTTTATTAGAAAATTCAACTAGAATTTAATTATATTATTATATAAATACAAAAATAAATAATTTATTGAATAATTAAATGTTTCTTAAAATTTAATTCCAATAAAGAATCGTTATCAACAAATTTTCAAACTATTGAATTCTATCAACGAATTTTAATAAAATTTTTAAAAATAATTGAGGCTCCGGATCTTAAAAGGGCACTTTTACCATTTAACATCAATACTGTGAAAGTGTCCTTTTAAGATCCGGAGCCTCAATTACATTTTTCGAGAAATTCGATTAATATTGTACCTATTAAAAATAATTGAAATTCTGCAATAAGTTTTATTATTTGTGAAAATAATTGAATCCCTAAGAAGAATTATATTACTTTTGAACAATAATAATTCAATTATTTCTAAAAATTTACGCTCTAATGCTTTTAAAATTCAATTATAATATAAAATTTTAACTTTATTTTAACATAACGAATTTAATCTTTAAATTTTTAAATAATTGAATTCTTTTGACTAATTTTAATAAAATGTTTAAGAATTTTTACGAGGAATTCG